GTCCACTATATATTAAGCTACTGCTTATAAAAATATTGTTAACTTATAAAAAGAAAAATACCGGAATCGAAACGTCAATAAACATAGAGGAAATGAACATTCAGTAGTTTATTGAATAATTAATAAGTGACGTTATTCCCAATTAAAAGGTTATGTTTAAATTTACATATACACACATTTTTATATGTGATTCAATTCCTGGCAGCTATGTAAAGGCCTTGGAATTGTCACATAAACATTTATAAACGTCTACAAATGCTTATATATATATATATATATATATATATATATATATATATATATATATATAGTGACATAGCTGCCAGGAATTGAATCACCATGATAAGAATCTTTCAAGAGTTAACTGATCGAGAAAAAAAAAAAACTGTGCGAATCGCCGTTCCAGGCGTTGCCCTTCCTGAGGACTGTAGACAGGACCTGGTCCACTGGAGCGGATACCCTAGCACTTCCAGCGACAGTCCTCCGGTTACTGCATCACTGGACTCGAGGAAGAGGTGGAGGATCGAAGAGGAAGGAATTCTAGTAATGGATCAACCGCTATGGACTAGATGGAAAAAAAAATAAATGACAGGTTTCAAACTATTCATTTAGTAATGAAAGAAAAACCGAAATAAAAAAATATTTTTAGTAAATTAATGAAAAATCTTCAGTTTATCAAATAGTAGTAAAACTTGTGTACCAGGTGTATTCCATAAACCAAAGTTTTATAAGAATGAATGAATGAAAACGTGTTTATTATCATAAAGCAAATATTAATGTATTTATTGATTATTGAAAATATTACAATCTGTCTCAAAGGACATTTAAAATAGTGTTCAGAGATCACATTCACACTCTATGTACAATAATAATAATAATAATATATATATATATATATATATATATATATATATATATATATATATATATATATATATATATACACACACACAATAAGCAAGTATAAAATAATCTAAGAAATAAATATTTATTTTATTTATTAGTTATACATATTTCTGGCTCACAATAAATTTGCCATCTACATCAGTATTCAGCAAATATGATATCAAGGACAAGAAATGATAGCATAAGAAAAAAAAATAATAGTAATAACAAAACAAAAAGATCAAAAAAAAACGAACAAAAAAAAGAACAGTAGTAAAATAACACATAATAACACATACATATTAACAGAATAACACACACAAAAAAGAAAAGATAATGCAGCAAGTAGCTCAATGCAATAAGTCTCTTGGCCAGCGCCTCAGCAGTCTTCTGGGCGGATAACATGGATTTGTGGCAGTAGATAGAGCTTGAGTAAGTGGATTGGAATTTAGAGTCAGTCTGTCATGAAAATTATTAAAGCGGTCGGTGGCAGTTGCCGTGATGAAAGGAGTGTTAAGGTCAGTGTGTAACGTGAGGTTTGAAACATAAAAGGGTGCGTCTACAATTTTCCGAAGGACTTTTGACTGGAATGACTGGATGATTTTTATATTTGATTTCTTTGCTGTTCCCCATAGTTCGATTCCATATGTCCAAAGTGGTTTAATGAGGACTTTGTAAATAGTTAATTTATTAGTCACAGATAATTTAGAACGTCTGTCAAGTAGCCTAGAAAGAAGTCCGTATCGCTGATTAAGTTCTTTTATTTTTTGTTTTATGTGGTATGCCCATGTCAGTTGTTTGTCCAAGTGGAGACCCAAATAAATAAATAAAAAGAACACAAATATACCTATATACACTATTTACAATCAGGCGAGAGCACTCCGAGCCAAACTTGTTCCTCCAACTGTGGAGGGAAAAGCATGACTCCAGGAGATCTCTGCACTTCTTTCTCAACCGCCTCACTGGGGCTAAACTTAGTGGCGATCATAATGCAAATAGATACAAAATATATTAATCATAAAAATGTTACAACACAGACAATAGAAAATTCCGTCTGTCGAGTTCTGTGTGATCATTCTACAAAATATGTTCCATTTTATATCCTTAAAAATTAATGAGCAATGTTTCATTAATTATTCACAACATCTTAAAAATATTTTTTCCAGTTTTCCATATTTCAAAAACAAACAGCAAAAAAAGTGTTTTGACCAACAAACAATAAAACAATGACAAATATTAAATACCCAAGTAGATAGACTACATTTTATCATAAATAATAAACAAAACAAAAATAACAAATAAATACTATCCATAACAAATAAATAAGGCATTCCACCAATCACTCACAAAGTAACTAGCTTTGCTCTTTGTAATGTGGCTTGCTGTGTATAATTACTTAAGGCCTTCCAATTAGCACCTCTCAATAGACTTAGTAATTCCTCCAGCAGAGATCTCCTGAAATCATGCTTTTCCCTCCACAGTTGGAGGGACAAGTCTGGCTCGGAGTTCTCTTGCCTGATTGTAAATAATGTATACAGTTATGTATACGTGTTCTTTTTATTTATTTATTTTTAGGTTATTTTATTCTTATTTATTGTATATATATTATCTTTCTGTATAATTTATTTCATTTACTATACATAGAGTGTGAATGTGATCTCTGAACACTATTATAAATGTCCTTTGAGACAGATTGTAATATTTTTCAATAAATAAGTTAATAAAAAAAAAAATAATTCCTCCGGCGAACATGTCTGCCGACCAAAATATTTTTCCTTGATCTCATTGTAGATATGACAGGACCCCAGGAAGTGCATGGTGTCTTCTTTTCAATTATCATTACCCTCCTGCATCCACGGTTTAACACTTGAGTAATGCACTAATTACTAATTAAGTAATTCAATCCTGCATCGGAAAATCGACCTTATCGATACAAGATCAAAACTATCATTGAGATACGGTGATACAGTGTCAAAATAAAAAAAAAACCCTGCATGTATAGAAAAAAATTGGACCGCAGACATTTTTCGAGATTGCGTTCTTCTTCCGATTCTTCAATCATATGTTTAACTGCGAACAAATTTACACGTCGATCGGCTGTATTAGATTGATACTTCTGTGCCTAATATAATAAAATTCCTCTAATTCCAACCACTTCCGGTACCAAAAAACTTCACTTGATTACTACGTTTGTTAAAATGTCTGGTAAACGGAAATCAGGCATATCCAGAACTTGTAATCAAAATGTATTTTTAGCGTATAAGCGTATATAGAGGCGATATCCGTCTCATGCGCCAAAGCGTAATAAGGTGCATACCTCGGGTTTTATATATTATACCAATTTCACAGATCTGCCTCTTTCCAAAACTCCTTCGTTGCACGCTCCACTAATCTCTGGAATTCCATCCATTTAAAAATCTGGCAATCTCTCTCCTTATCCACCTTTATGACCCATCTATTTCAATTCCTATTTACAAACTAGTCAGAAAATGGCTAATTGCGTGTTAAGTTTCAGTGCCTTGGTTTAAAAATCAATGTTATATATATATATATTGTTTTTTTTTTTTTTGTTCTCGTGAACTTGTATGCATAACTCCTTGTAATTATGAACTTGTATGTATATTTTTCATATCATGCTGTTTCTGTTCTACAAGATTACTGTACTCTCAAAGTTGCTTAATTTATTCATTTTCTCACTAGATCTTGATGTCAACTATAAACTTTTTAAATATTTCCCTCTAATTACGAGATACCCTGACCGATATTGGAACAATGCCCTCCATTGACAACTTTAAGAACAAAGTTCCCAAAACAAAATTTTAAAATGCCCATCATTATTGTTTCTATAGTGCTCTTGAGCTAAGTGTGTTTCATACCTTCCTACTAACAGTTTTGCTAAGAATAAGTTGAACAATTATGTTATCCTACATTTCTCGTTATTTTTATAATTAAATAAAGATTTTAGAATATTTCTGAGGTACGTTCATTACTGGTATCGATGTCCATTATTAGAAAAATTGAATTTCGGAATATCCATCACTAGTTCAAAAAAGGTGTTTTTTTTTTTTTTTTTTAAATAGACGTAATAACTTCATAACTGAATATTATTTACATTTTAAAGTGTTAAGTAGATAAGGGAGACTTTAGAAATTCTAAATGTCCAACAGAGAAGTTTATAATGATGTAGAGATGGTTGGCCAAATTAATACTAAATTAAACAAGTAGAATTATTTAATTTTTGCCGACATTTCGACCCACTTTGTAGGTCTTCATCAGGGCTACAAAAGATACAAAATAAATGAATATAAGTAGATATAAAATAAGAATAAGTTGTCTGATACAGAAATAAAAAGATGATATCAGAGATATAGTGGGTGACGATGTAGTTAAAATATCAAGTATAATATGTAGAAGATACAAACAAAAATGGAAAATAAGTATGAATAAAAATAGAAAGTAAAGGAGAATATAGCATGTACGTTATAGATAAGTTTATAGTTATATTATCACTGGTGCACTTACACTACCTAATATAAGGATTCATTTTGGATTCGTGACATCTCTATTAAATTCTGTTTTTGTTTTTTTTTGCCTTCTCGATTTTCAAAATTCCTCTCTGATGAGCTCCGAAAAAAATATATATAATGCCTTAATATTAGTGTTGCCCAAAATCGGTCTTGGTCTTGCAAAGTGACCTAAGCCGCCTAACTGTTGCAAGACCAAGACCAGGACTGGTAAAAAAAATCGATTTTTTAAATACAAATTAAGGCAAAATAATTACTAACACTTGACAATCTTAGTTACTATATGTTAATAATTGGTATAACCAATAAGTTTTGCATTTAACTCCTCTATTTTTTCATTTTTGCTTAGTTAGGTTTCTCCTATCTAAAAAAATACAGTAATATCTCAATAGGAATAAGCTAATAAGTAACTGCAAGGCTGTTGCGAGACTCTTGCGCAAGACCAAGACCATGACCAAGACTGAGTTTGCAAGATCAAGACTCGTCTCGGTCTCGCATTTTGGCAACATTACTTAATATGTGCGTATTGGATAGCATTTTTCTGAAATAATCATATGACCATAATAATAAATTTCGTTCATATGTATGATTGTTATTTAAACAATGATACACTAATTGCATTAATGTGGCAACACGAATGTCCAATAAAGATGTCTTCCCCCTGATTTTCTAGAAAATTGCACCTGGTTATAAAAGCTGCCATATGGCGAAAGCCAACTTGTCCGAATGGAGCGAACTGGTCCTCAACATGGTCGACAACGGTGTCATCAAGACCGAGAAGGTGAAGAACACCATGTTGAACGTGGATAGACAATATTATGTCCCAGGCCCCTTCGACCCTTACCTGGACACGGCGCTGCCCATCGGCTTCGGAGCGACCATCAACGCGCCGCACATGCACGCCATGGTGCTCGAGCTCTTGAAGGACCACCTCGCACCAGGAGCCAGTGCTCTCGACGTGGGTTCGGGGTCCGGGTACCTCACGGCCTGCATGGCCTTGATGGTGGGACCGACCGGGCTGGTCGTCGGCATCGACCACATCGCGCACCTGGTCCAGCTCGCGCAGAGGAATATCCTCAACGGCAACTCCTTCCTCCTCGGCTGGGACAGCATCATCTTCAGGACAGCAGACGGGCGTTTGGGATACCCGGAGAACGCACCCTACGACGCCATCCACGTCGGCGCGGCCACCCAAAACGTACCCTCGATCTTGTTGGAACAGCTTGCTCCCGGAGGTCGCTTGGTGGTTCCCGTCGGTAACAGGAAGACTTATCAAATTCTGATGCAAGTGGACAAAAGCCTCGACGGAAAGATACAAAAGAAAAGGATTTCAGCCGTGAGGTTCGTTCACCTGACGGACATAACCTCGCAAGGCAAGCGTGCCAGCCAAATTACTTTAAATGATGTTTGTGGTTAGTAAAAGTTTTTGTTTACTCTTTCTTTTAATTACTGATCTATTTTTAAATTATTCCTATTATTATCTATTGCAAGGGGCCAATAATCTATTAACTTAAAAAACGTTGCAAATTATTACACAATGATTTATTATTTTCAATAAATTATAATAATAATAATGCTTTATTTATTCTGGGACGAGTCCCTTTAGAATAATACAGAAACACAAGAAATGTGGGCTAAGGAGTCTCAGAGATACATAAACAAGAATGTAGTTTAATTAAATAGTCAAAATAAAAAAGAAATTATAATTTACTTTCTAATTTAAATAAGCTAATAATAAAAAATTAAAAATAAACATGTAAGTAAAAATAATGAAGAACGTTCTAATAATTTATGTCTATAAATATTAAAAATATAGACATATTTACAGTAGTAACTATTTACAATTTTATGATGACTGGATGGATAAGAAATGATTAAACAGGCGGGATTTAAAGGTAGGAAGGATTTTGGATTGACGGATGTGGGGAGGGATGGAGGTTCGGTGGGCCCTTATGTATAAATTAGAAGACCGGGAACGAGTATTGCGGGAACGAACAGAGGATTTGCATTGAAGGAGCTCGGAGATGTAAGACTACGGTAGGAAGGATATATCAAAAGTAACATTACTTTCCTTGTTACATAAGGAAAAAATATATAGGTGATTTACACTATTGTCCTATCTTCTAGATAAGAGACTGACATGTAACCGTCATACCAGACTCAAAAGACAAGAGCTAAACCGACGATTTGGACAATTATGTAGACTACTGAACAGGAACTCACGTCTCTCAACTGATAGCTAACTACTAGTCAATAAGACGATACTAAAGCCCATCTGGACGTATGGACTTGAACTGTGGTGGACAACTAAATATTCGAACATCAAACATCATAATAGACTGAAACGACAAGAAACCTCTCGACGTTTCTGATTACTTCAGCACTTACTAGACAAACGCTTTAAACTTCCAATTAATTACAAAAGACTCATATACATGACTATAATTAGGCCTATTTGAACTTACGGAGTTGAGCTATAGGGGCTCCACTAAACCATCGAATTCCTCTCGTATCCAATCCTTACAATCTGAAGTCCTTCCAACAATCGTTAATGGAACGTACTACGTCACAAACGAAACCTTACATCATGATCTCAACATCCCATTTGTCCTAAAAATTCTCAAACTATCACAAAAAACTTATGCATAATCCTAATCCCTTTCTAGCTTCAACCATCCATATAACCCCCGACGAAGGTTGAAAAGGAAACGGCCCCGAGATCTATTATAAATATTCTATTGGAGTTCTGGCAGTGACCAGCTTCTCCACTCAAATCCAAAAAAGTGATGCGGCTAGGAGAGAAGCGCTGGGATCTCTTTGAGTCCTGCCTTGCCTTTCACGTGAGAGCGGCAACGCTTGGTTCAGAGTTCCCTAGGCTAAATGTAAATATTTTACATAGAAATGAATGTGTGGCAAATATTTATTTTATTTTATTTATTTCCTGCTTTGCTATTCTTTCAATATACTTTTTTTTCCTTTTTACAAGTTTTTTTTTAATACAAATATTTTTACTTAAATGTTTTCTTCTTATTTTATTTGTTTTCAATTTATATTTTAAATTGTGTATAAAATATATTAATGTAAACACAGAGCCATAATGCTTAATGCCTTAGATTGTGGCAGATTGTATTATTTTTCTTCAATAAAAAAATTTCCCAATAAATATTGTCCTAAATAATTTTTTATTTCACCATTAAAAATTTTCTAAAGGGGACCCTACACGGTAATTCATGAATGAACGTCACAAGAAGTTCCAAGATTGCCCGCTATCGCTTTGATCATGAAGACCCTTACACGTTCAATCATTACTGATCATTACTTATGTGAAGTTTCCACTTTTTTTTCTCTCCAATTTATTGTCTACTTGACTTTTTAAAGAAAAAATAGTTGAAAATGGTTAATAATAACATAGACTTATAGTTAATAATAACAACTATTTACTTTTATGAAATTATTTACTTAATAACGAGACTTAGGTAAACTAACCTATCTAGTAGTAACATTAGTCTCATAGAAAACTTAACCTAACCTATCACTTCTCGTGAATGAACCTTTGATTTCCGGATGTTCGGAAATCCGCAGCGCACCACCATCAGTACTTCATTCACTACCTTACGCGACAATTCGGAACGTCATTAGTGCAATTCCGATTGACCGTGTAGGGTCCCCTTAACACTTTAACGATATTGAAAACCAAAACAAAGGAAATAAGCTTTGCAATAAAACATATGAAACATATTTTAAAAAAAAAGTTCTATATTTTAGGAAATAAGTATATTCTATACATATACTTAAAGGGCATTTAGGAGAAGACTTCAGCCAAGTTTCATTGTAATCGGTACATTCGTTTAGGTGCTACAGTCTAAAGCAACTCAGGTTTTTCAGACGTCATCTTGAAAAAAAAGAACGGATAATAATGTGTTAGAAGGATCATCATCGGATGACTTCTAACTTTGATTCCAAATTTGAAAAAATCGGTCCAGAGAAAATGGACGGCGGGCGGGCAATTTTTATTTTTTTTATTTTCGAGTTTTATGTATCCTGACACATAAAATCTAAAATTTTGGGAGGGGGTTAAATTTTTGAATTTTTTGGACGATTACGATGGTTCATTATTAATAATAAAAACCAAAAATTTTTACTCTACACACAAGGCCGGTTTAGATAAAATATTTTATTTGTCAGATTGCTACTGTTTGTCACAGAAAAATAACAGGCATTTCCCGCCTTCAGCCGAACCTTGATCTCCTCTTTAATTTCGTTTTTTCTAGCTATCGTATACCCTACATACCTATACATCTCGTGTTCAAAGATATTACTTTCTATATCGATATCATCGGCGATTTTTTTGTTACCTCATAAGAAACAGATAGTTTGACTAGGTCTTTTGGAAAATATCATCATTTATATTCCAATATAAGATATTTCAAGTGGTTTCGTCTTTTTTTGTGGAAACTTCTTCAGGCGCGCTTTCCACTTTTTTTGAGGAGAGTGAATTAGATTGAGCCATCAGATCTTCGTGTAACGCTCAGGTCAAGTCGACTACTTGAAGCGTTTTTGTATATGGATTAAAATATCTCTAAAAATAAAAATCGTACCTGCATATTGTTTACGAGGGAAATATTCATTATTTCATCCTCTTTGTAGTGAGCTATTATGAAAAATGGTATCTTAACAAATATTTTATTGCCGAAAAATCTCTGGTGAGTTTTCAATCTGGAGGTCGGAAAACTTTGTCTAGTTAATTAAGTAATAAAAACTCGTAAATGCCCATTTCCCCACTCGGATCTAGGATCATTTGATCACAAAATTGATAAAGAAAGATGGTCTGCAAAAATATTGGGCCGTTTGGCCTATATAACCTCGTTGTTTTTTTTTTTGACAATTTGGGGATGTAGTTCATGCTAAATGGCTCAATATTTTTGAAGGTCACGTATTTTCTCGATTAAGTGCTCAAATTATTTTGCAGTTCAAGTGGAAAGCAAATGGATATTTACGAGTTTTCAATACCTAATTAAATAGACAAAGTTTGCCGACCTCTGGATTGAAAAACCGCAATTCCGAAAATTTTCATTAATAAAATATTTGTAGGTTCCGATGGGATGAAGCTATTTACTAAATTTCAGCAGGATATTATCAATTTGATAAAAAGGGGTCTGTACCACGGACCATTATTATAATGACCTGTGTTATTAAACCGCTTGTTATTAATGTTTTATCTTGATTTATGGTGCTAGGTAATCTTAAATAAGACTTTTACTTCAAAATATATTTAATTTTTAGTTAAAAGTATTGGCAGTGACGAGATCTCTAGGAGGCCTTGGACGCCCACACTGCTCACTTGATGGCTGAGGTCATCGCACCCTCTTCCTCCGCTTCTCGAATTTAATTCCACGAACAGATGATCGGCTTTAGATGTCGATGTATCGATTACAATATCGAGCCGGTGACATTTCGGACAATCTGGCCTTTAGCAAGGCGATGCGAAAATCAAACAAAAGTCTCCTGACAGTTACAGATTGCATTAAGCATTTTTATATATACAATATTTAACGTTTTCACTTAAACTCATCATGTCAACATACAATTAAGGTATATCTGCTTTATTAACGTAAATAATTAACAATTCATTAACAAGTAATAAGCTTTATAGATCCAATAGAGTATATTTTCATAGATAATGCATAATTGAGTAGATTTGCTGCTACAACACATGGATGCCACAACCTCAAGTGATATCATGCCAAAATAGCACATTTCCATCTGATTTATTAATTAAGCAAAGATAGGTGTTCGTTTTAAGATTTCCTTATCCTTTTTTTTTTTTTTTTTTAGAAAATAAGTAAGAAATTTTGATTAATTCATCTGTAATTTGCCATTACTTTGTCCCTTTGTTTAAAACTGTGCACTATAATTCAAATCGCTACTTCCTTTTCAGAAGATGTCTTCCTTCAGCCATAATCTGTGTTCAACACTTCTTTATTTCCGCTCGTTCCCTCCTTATCCACACTTATCTGGTTAAACTCCCAGCTTTCATACTCCCAAACGAAAATGTCTTTCTATTTTGGAAGGAGATGGTCCGGGGTTGCGGTCATAAATAGGCTAAATAGTGGTAAAACTATTTTATTTTATTTTATTATTTTAGTTTTACCACTATTTAGCCTATTTATGACCGCAACCCCTGACCATCCCCTTCCTTTATAATGCAACAGTCAACTATTAAATATTCAATTTGTCTTTCTATTTTGTATTTAACATTTTAGAATTTATTAATTTTATAATTTTTTTTTATCCTTTGAGATTTCATTTTTTCAAAGCTAGTAAACTTGATGTTGTTTATTTTCGTTTTTGTTTTTCTATAGATATGGATTACCATTTTTTTTATTTTACTTTAATATAATGAACATTTTAAAATAAACAGACTTAATTTATA